TACCACCACCACCACCACCTCCACCACTACCACTCACCACCACCACCACCACCTCCACCACTACCACCACCACCACCACCACCACCACCACCACCACCACCATCACCACTACCACCACCACCGCCACCACCATCACCACTACCACCACCACCACCACCACCACCTCCACCACCACCACCACTACCTCCACCACCATCACCACTACCACCACTGCCGCCACCGCCACCGCCAAGCCAAAGTTTAGTAGATGATAATTATTGTGGCATGAATAGAAGCAAGGGTGTTGTATGTTTATCTTTGGTTGATGCGATGGCACTAATAATGTATGAACAACAGCAATCGGAGATAGCAAACCTCCGCCACAGCATAACAGTCCCCCCTTCTTGCTGGTACACCCTATATAGTTTGATGAAATTTTCAGAAATTTGGAAGAAAAAAAGGTCCAGGATTAAAAAAAAAAATTTTTGGATGAATTGTGAATGCGTCCGAAGTCTTCCCCACAAAAAAATCCTGGATCCAGATCTGGATCCGGATCACCATCAAAATCTAATCGATTGGTTGTTGGCCCAAGACCAACCCGTCAAAAAAATTCCATCAAAATCCATCAGTAACTTTTTGAGATATATCCTGTTGACAGACAAACAAACCAACTAACAAACTAACAGGGGCGAAAACATCCTCCTTGGCGGAGTACGTACCTCCTTGGCGGAGTACGTACCTCCTTGGTGGAGGTAACAACAGTATACATGCCTCTGCAATGCAGTCCATCGCCACTGTAAGGTGGCTTGCAGGAACAAACGAATGACCCAGGTGTGTTGATACAGGTTGCACGATCTTGTGCATCGCAGTTGTGCAATGGCTGCCCACCAGGTGTCAGCTCCGTGCATTCGTCAATGTCTGTGACAGAGGGCATGATAGCGAAACACGTGGGTAACATGTACTGATATCTAGATACTAACATATAGTTATAGCAGTTAGTATAGCACAAAGGCTCGTTGTTGTATCAGGTACTACATATATGTACCCGAGGTAGTTTTAGGTTGTTTAGTATTATGTTTATATTTTTATATGAGGTATGTTTAGGGTTAGGGTTAGGGTTAGGGTTAGGGCAGAGGCGACAGCGCCACCTGACGGGCAGGTGGTTCTGATGCTAAACTCACTGGCAAACGAATCAAGAGCACCCTCCCATCGCCGCGTTCGCTCTCCCTCGTAGTCTCTCTCATTTCTTTCTCTTTCGCTCTCCGCTCTTGCTCTCTCTTCCTTCGCGCTCTCTCTCTCTCCCTCTCTCTCTGCGCTCGATCACTCTCTCTCTCTCTCTCTCTCTCTCGCTCGAATCACTCTCTCTCATTTTCTCTTCTCTCTCTCTCTCTCTCTCTCTTGCTCTCTCTTTCCCTTCATGCTCTCGTCTGTCTCACTCGCTCACACTCTCTCCTCGTTGTCTCTCTCTTTCTTTGTTCTTTGTCTTTCCTCTCTTTCCTCTCTCTCTTCTCTCTCTCTCTCTCTTTCTCTCTCTATCTTTCTCTCTCTCTTTCGTGTGCTCTCTCTCTTTCTCTCTCTCTCTCTGCTCTCTCTCTCTCAGGCTCTCTCTCTCACTCTATTACTCTCTCTCTCTCTTCCTCTCTCTCTCTCTCTCTCTCCTCTTCTCTCTCTCTCTCTCTCATCACTCACTTCTCTCTCTCGTCTCTCTCTCTCTCTATTCCTCTCTTCCTCTGCTCTCTCTCTCTCTCGTCTTCTTCCTCTCTGCTTCTCTCTCTCTCTCTCTCTCCAGCAGAGGGCCAGCGATGGTAGAAAATTATGAAAATTGCTCTCTAAAAAGCTGCTTGCTCCGGCGGACAAGCTACCGGACAGATCTACTTGTCCTCCGTGGAAATGGACAAGTACGGACAAACGAGATAGCCCTTATTCTTCGAACACTGGGGATGGTATCAGGAACTTTCTCGAAGAATGTTTCGTTGGGATCGTTATGAAACTTGCCACGAGATGCGCGACGTTTGAATGTCCTTAGGATTAAAGATGGAAGCTCCCATCGTACGTAGTTAGCAACAACTATTTGCAAGACAGAATAGGTATAAGCACTCATCCATTTACCTACGCAAGCCTACAGGCTGAAATAGAGAGCTGCCACCTTGTAACCAATTAACGCCAGGCAAAAACTACCGTACTATACACCACCACATGCACTGGCAGTGGCACTGTAGTGGCATAATTAAGTTACATGTAACACACTGACAATACAAAATGCATAGAAATTATACGATTTAAGGAGCATAAACCTTCTTCAACCAAATTTTAGCTTTTGAAATTTCACTGTGGACATTGTAAGCCTCATACATCCAGCATGTATAGGTTTTACAGCAAACTTGGCAGTCAAATTCTTCTAACAGAAACAAATCCATGTTAACCCTCTTCTTGAGGGTCAAAAGGTTATCCGACACTTCCTCTTCGCATGTCAGCAGAAAGTACATTTCATGGTCGTTTCAATTAAGCATAAAAATGCTAGTCACCGCTGAAACAAAAATTTTTCAATCGCTCCGTCAGACCATGTCCTTTCGTCAGAAAATGTCTAAAATCTGCCCTGTGCTCCATGACCTTTGACCTGTGCCCTCCAATTTCGGCACAGGTGATAGCTTTTCCTACCATGATGCTATACACCGACTATCACGAGCCTAGGTCGAGCGTTTAGATTTGTGCCGGCAATTCTGCATTCCTCCCTATACTTAAGTTAAGGAGGGAATGTTCCCCCTTCTTTTACACGCTCTTGACCTTTGACCCCCAGCTTAGACATCCCAACTCGTTTTCGCGATTTACCCCCCCACTCCGCAATTTCGAATCCGTATGTCGAGCAGTTAGATTTGTGCCCAAGCTGTAACGGACGGACGCCGGATGGACGGACGGCCGATGGACGCACGCCGGACGCACGCTCATGCGATTCTACAAGCTGCATCTGAGTATGTCAGATGATGCTAAAAATGAATAAAAAAATAAAATCATAAATAATTACATGAATAAATAAATATTCACTATGACCAGTTCTTAGTCAGAAGGTAGTATAAGTGAGCGTACTGAAACTAGACCTTTGCCTGGAGTGCCATGTGTTTACATAATTATGTTGCATGCCGTCGGATGGCTGCCTACATTCAATTTCACCTATGTTCACGTGTTATTCATTATTGACAAACTGTACATATTTACCTGTGGCAGAGGCGCGCATACACCTGCAGGGCGTCTGCTAACATACAGCAAGCACCATCTGTAGCCAGACCCGACAGCAGCAGCTGGAGTAGCAGCATCATCGTCTAATTGTTCGGCGGATCTGGGATGAAGCGTTGCAGGGTGTTAGCTCCCTGTGCCAGCGTGAACGAAGTCAGCAATGCCTGCGTCGCGACGTCATAGCAGCAACGCGGCGTCAGCGCCGAAATTTACCAATCCGGGCTCAGTGATGGCAGTTACCAGACGAAAGCACTGCATGATGCCGCTGTCAAGCCAAACTTGCCGTGCTGTGCGTCAGTGGTAGCGACACCTAGTGAGCACGGACACTGGTTGACGCCTGTAGGTGGCACTGGTTGCAGTTTTCCCGTACCGCCAGTCGTAGCAGCCTTTGTAGTGGTTAGCGCACAGGCTCTGTGCCCCGACCCACGGGTACACCAGCCAGCCTTCACAGACGCCGTTGACATTAGAAGGCTGCTGTCGATTCGTAGCAGTAGGGTGAGCTCAGCATGAGTGCTAGCGTAGGACAGTGCATGCTCCTCTGCGTTAAGTGGCCAGCTATGCCCCGCAGTACTACGCTATAAGTATGGGGCTTGGCTGACACTGCCTGTCAGCCGCATGTCAAAGTGCATCTGACCATCAGCATAAGATGTAGTGGACGCTAGTCGTCTCGAGCTGAAAGGACGGCAGCTTGAAACGTAACCGTCTGCAAGAAAGAGGCACGCTGTTAGAAGATTGGAACAGGTTGGTGATAGAGAGTGTTAAGATATAGATGAAGAGATAAAAGTGAAAAGAGTGAGATGAGAACACTAGACAGCTAGAAAGGGGGGGGAGGAGAGAGATGAGAAGAGAGAGAAGAGAGAGAGAGAGAGAGAGAGAGAGAGAGAGAGAGAGAGAGAGACGGGGAGAGAAGAGAGAAGAGAGAGAGAGAGAGAGAGAGATGAAGAGAGAGAAGAGAGAGAGAGAGAGAGTAGAGAGAGAAGAGAGAGATGAGAAGGAGAGATAAAGGCAAGCGATCCAACAGACCAAGTAAGAAGCAAGAAGGAGGGGGAGAGAACAAGAGAGAAAAAAGGTAAGAAGCAAGCGAGAGCTAGCGAGAAATACTGAAAAATGTGCGAGAGAGAAAGAGAGCGAGAGAGAGTAAGAGGAAGAGAGAGGAAGGGAGGGAGAGAGGAGAGAAGGGAGAGAGAAGGGAGGGACAAGAGTAACAGGTGATGAGTCAGTGCAGGGCTACAGAGAAACCCACATGCGTTGAGACAGACATAGAGACTACTGGCACTATGATTTGGCTCCTACAAACTCTGTTTTGTTGGCTGGCTGCTGCATCTTGCTCCAGGTGACGATCAGAGCGCCACCTATGCCGCTTCCCGCGCCACCCATGATGCGATCGAAATAATGGCTGCATCGGAGGCACACAAACGCTCCTCACAACACCTGTAGAAGACACCGGCTTTCGGCGTCTGCAAGCGAATGCTAAGCAAACGTCAAAGAAGATACTGACAAGTGTCCTCATTTCATTTTAAAACTGTCAAAGTATATGTCCTACTTCTTTTGTGACAGTGAGAAGGTACATCTAATTAACCTGCCCATCTGAGTGCGGTAACTAAGGCACCACTGTGAATATTTCTTCAATTAAGCTAGAGCCGGTTTATGCGTGTTTTACGTGGGTCATGCACAAAAGGTTGTAAACACGTGACACTTCAATGGCACGTTGTTTCTTTAAGACCTATTTACCACCCAGCTTGGCAATACCGCAGTGCAATAACAGGCAGGCATTAATAAGAATCATCATTCAATACAATCAAGTAATAAAAACAGATTCGTATCTGAGGCAAAAATATCCAACTGTATCCCGCAAGACAATGTCGGCTAAAAAATAACTGATTGGACTAAATCGCCGAAGAAAATTCTCCAGATTTTACTCGTAACAAACAAAATACGTAAAGACGAATTTGCCTCAGTGAGGAAGCACAGCGCAGGCAGCCTGTGCCTTGGCCAGCCCAGCAGCAAACACTCTAGACTGACCAACCGACTGGTTCCCTCCCTCTCCCAGTACGTGTCATCGACGAGCATGGAGGGTCAATATACGCTGCTATTCCTAACTCCCGCTGCTCCGGCCAGGAACCACCACATGAAATTGACGGCGGTGCAGATGGCGCTGCATATGCTCTCCGTGATAACGCGGGCAGCAGCAACGCCCTCTGATGGCTGGGTCGACGTCGCGAGAAGAGATTGCCCGCGTGCTGGTTAAACTGAGCAAACAGTTTTAAAAAAGAAAACAGGCTTAAACAAGAATTGCAGACGGATAGCGCATGAGAACGGAGAACGCAAGAGCAGTATAGCATGAGCAAATACTTTTTTTAGTGGTTTAGATTATTAAGTTAATGTACTTATTCTTATCTATCAACAATTAAAATTAGGCGTTTGGTCGAACACATTTTATTCAGATAATAGATATAGATTCTTATATGAGCATTTTATTATAAAAGCAGTGGGCCCTACATAATGATGAAACTGAATGATATAATTTTCACAATTTTCAGAGCTCTGCTAATTTGGGCGTTTTAATGAATTTTGGTAATTTGGGCGTTTTTTTCTAAGGGTCGTAATTTGGGGCGCTGTCATCTCGATATGAAAATGGCTTGGAAATAGGCCCGATAGGTAAAGGTTTTGTGCTCGGCAGGTGGTGCACACTCTACGCTATTGTGCCTCCATGTAAACAAACGTCTGCCATGTATGTGCACCTATAGAATGATAATTGTCTCTTAACTGGATGACGACTAGGGTCGATAAACGATTTGACATAAATGTGGAACCAAGCCTCGTACTGCGTGAAAAACGCACGCTACAAGCACTAACCACGATGGTCTTGCCTAGCGGAGAACTAGGTAAGTCAACGCCGAAGATTAGGAGTAAGCATTTAAACACATTACACCAACAATGCGTTATCTACATACTTACATATCTCTGAGCGAAACTTCACCGTAGCAAGTGGTAGCGGGTTACGTGGGAACGATGAGGCAGTTGGATACACGCGTGGTTGTGCCCTGGTAAGCGGCTGTCCGTCATGCAGTCGCGTGTGTGAGCTTCCGTCTTCCAGCCGTCCTCTATAGTACGTCAACACAGAAAAAAATACTGTTGGCTACTACTGCTGCTGCTGCAACTTCCACCACTACTGTCGCCACCAAGCACCAACTGTCACAACCAACCATCACATTAACCAGGCCGCCACCCGCCACCCCACCACCACCGCACCACCACCACCACCCCACACCACCACTCCACCGCTACCAGCACAGCCCAAACACTAACACGTCACCAACAAAGCAACCCTCACAACCCCACTGCCACCACCCCACCACTACCAGCTACCGACCGACCACTCGACCGACCACTCACCAACCACCACCACACCACAACTTACCCACCACTCACCACCACTGACCACACCCACCGCATCAGCACCAGCACCGACCGCCACGCCACCGCCACCGCCACCGCCACCGCCAACGCCACCACACCACACCACCACTACACACCACCAACCACCAAACCACCACCAGCCACCACCACAGCTACCAGCACCAGCACCACCACCAACACCAACACCACCAACAGCAACCCCCCTACCCCACTGCCACCACCCACACACTACCAGCACCGGCCACCGCCGCCAACCGCTGCGCCGCCAGCAAGCAAGCAGCAGCACAGCAGCAGCACCCCCACAGAGCGAGAAAGAGAAAGAGAGAGAGAGAGAGAGAGCGAGAGAGAGAAAGAGAGAGAGAGAGAGAGAGCACGTGCGAGAGAGAGAGAGAAGGGAGAGAGAAGGTGGGAGAGAGAAGGTAGGAGAGAGCGAGAAATAGAGAGAAGGGGGACGGAGAGACATACATATACCTCACCACGCCACGCAACACAATACGCATGCTAGCACGTATACACGCACGCAGGTACACATCATACTGCACGCTAGAAGTGAGATCTCCTTGGAGGCATATAGTGTCTTAGATAGGCATAGTTTTAGATGCTACATCACTCTTCAACAGTCTGACGTAATTTGGGCGATTAAAAACAATCAGAGGTCAAATGAATTTAGATGGACCAGTTACTTAATTGCTAATCTTTCCCAGATAATATACAGATCGATGCAGTCAGCGTATAAAAGTGCAGTCAAGCAACATCCTATACCTAGCTTACTTACAGAGACAGCTAGTAGTGATTGAAATCTCACCTGACAGGTGCACAGTAGTACAGGTAGGAGGGTCAGGCTGGCTGTTTGACCGTCGCTCGCCAGCAACGTTATCTGTAAGATGGTAACAATGGCTGTGAATAAAACCTTATACAGCTAGTAACAAGATGACTTAATTAATATATGGTGACAGATGGGTGGATGGATGTATGAATGGATGAATGGATAGATGGATAAAGAAAGATGGAGACAGACATACAGACAAACACACAAACAAACAGGCAGGCAGGCAGGCAGGCAGGTAGGTAGGCAGGCAGGCATACAGAGAGACAGACAGGCAGACAGACAGGCACGTACGCACGCACGCACACACACATGCACGCACGGCCTGATCGACGGTCAAACAGAAAGACAGACAGACAGATAGATAAGAAGACACGCAGACAGATAGGAAGACAGGGGTGGGGGGTGAGCGTTTAGGGTCATGAACCCTCTAATGTTCAGTCTATGTCTTGAAGGGCTCTCCATGGGCGTGTACAGGATTTGTACTAGGGGGGGGGGTCTAACCGTAACCCAAACTTGCGAGCACGCGGAGGGGGGGGACCTCCCCCAGAAAAATGTTGAAATTAGACCCCCTTAGATGTGTTTTCTGCGCGAGCAGGGGGGAAGTCCGGACCCCCTGGACCCCCTCCCCTGTACACGCCCCTGCTCTCAATAGCAAACAATGAGTTAACCTAGACTATGTGTAGGTGTATCCATCCAAGAAATAGGACGAGCAATGGAAGGCTCTTTTGCCGACACTTTAAATGAAGAACAACTTACCGCCGGCAGATTTTCAATGTCGTAAGGTGCACTACTCCATGTCAGGTTGCCTGTTAGTGTGTCGACACTGACACCAGAGGGTGCCGTTTTAAGAGAGTAGGTTATGGAGTCAGACTCAAGGTCGATTGTTTCAACTGTTTGCAGGATGACATCCTGTCCAGCTGTCACTACCCATGGGGTTAAGGTCATAGTGAACTGTGGAGGGTTGTTGGCTGAAAAAATATCAGAAATCATTTAGAAGATGTTTTTATCTTATAAAATTTAGTATGTATAAATAAAACAAGTGGCAGAGGCGAACAGCGCCACCTGACGGGGCAGTGGTTCTGATGCCTAAACTCACTCATAACGAATCAAGAGCACCTCCCATCGCCGCGGTTCGCTCTCCCTCGTAGTCTCTCTCATTCTATTCTCGTTTCGCTCTCCGGCTCTTCGCTGCTCTACTTCCTTCGCCTCTCTCTCTCTCCCTCTCTCTCTGCGCTCGATCACTCTCTCTCTCTCTCTCTCTCTCTCGCTCGAATCACTCTCTCTCATTTTCTCTTCTCTCTCTCTCTCTCTCTCTCTTGCTCTCTCTTTCCCTTCATGCTCTCGTCTGTCTCACTCGCTCACACTCTCTCCTCGTTGTCTCTCTCTTTCTTTGTTCTTTGTCTTTCCTCTCTTTCCTCTCTCTCTTCTCTCTCTCTCTCTCTTTCTCTCTCTATCTTTCTCTCTCTCTTTCGTGTGCTCTCTCTCTTTCTCTCTCTCTCTCTGCTCTCTCTCTCTCTGGCTCTCTCTCTCACTCTATTACTCTCTCTCTCTCTTCCTCTCTCTCTCTCTCTCTCTCCTCTTCTCTCTCTCTCTCTCTCATCACTCACTTCTCTCTCTCGTCTCTCTCTCTCTCTATTCCTCTCTTCCTCTGCTCTCTCTCTCTCTCGTCTTCTTCCTCTCTGCTTCTCTCTCTCTCTCTCTCTCCAGCAGAGGGCCAGCGATGGTAGAAAATTATGAAAATTGCTTCTAAAAAGCTGCTTGCTCCGGCGGACATGCTACCGGACAGATCTACTTGTCCTCCGTGGAAATGGACAAGTACGGACAAACGAGATAGCCCTTATTCTTCGAACACTGGGGATGGTATCAGGAACTTTCTCGAAGAATGTTTCGTTGGGATCGTTATGAAACTTGCCACGAGATGCGCGTACGTTTGAATGTCCTTAGGATTAAAGATGGAAGCTCCCATCGTACGTAGTTAGCAACAACTATTTGCAAGACAGAATAGGTATAAGCACTCATCCATTTACCTGACGCAAGCCTACAGGCTGAAATAGAGAGCTGCCACCTTGTAACCAATTAACGCCAGGCAAAAACTACCGTACTATACACCACCACATGCACTGGCAGTGGCACTGTAGTGGCATAATTAAGTTACATGTAACACACTGACAATACAAAATGCATAGAAATTATACGATTTAAGGAGCATAAACCTTCTTCAACCAAATTTTAGCTTTTGAAATTTCACTGTGGACATTGTAAGCCTCATACATCCAGCATGTATAGGTTTTACAGCAAACTTGGCAGTCAAATTCTTCTAACAGAAACAAATCCATGTTAACCCTCTTCTTGAGGGTCAAAAGGTTATCCGACACTTCCTCTTCGCATGTCAGCAGAAAGTACATTTCATGGTCGTTTCAATTAAGCATAAAAATGCTAGTCACCGCTGAAACAAAAATTTTTCAATCGCTCCGTCAGACCATGTCCTTTCGTCAGAAAATGTCTAAAATCTGCCCTGTGCTCCATGACCTTTGACCTGTGCCCTCCAATTTCGGCACAGGTGATAGCTTTTCCTACCATGATGCTATACACCGACTATCACGAGCCTAGGTCGAGCGTTTAGATTTGTGCCGCAATTCTGCATTCCTCCCTATACTTAAGTTAAGGAGGGAATGTTCCCCCTTCTTTTACACGCTCTTGACCTTTGACCCCCAGCTTAGACATCCCAACTCGTTTTCGCGATTTACCCCCCCACTCCGCAATTTCGAATCCGTATGTCGAGCAGTTAGATTTGTGCCCAAGCTGTAACGGACGGACGCCGGATGGACGGACGGCCGATGGACGCACGCCGGACGCACGCTCATGCGATTCTACAAGCTGCATCTGAGTATGTCAGATGAAGCTAAAAATGAATAAAAAAATAAAATCATAAATAATTACATGAATAAATAAATATTCACTATGACCAGTTCTTAGTCAGAAGGTAGTATAAGTGAGCGTACTGAAACTAGACCTTTGCCTGGAGTGCCATGTGTTTACATAATTATGTTGCATGCCGTCGGATGGCTGCCTACATTCAATTTCACCTATGTTCACGTGTTATTCATTATTGACAAACTGTACATATTTACCTGTGGCAGAGGCGCGCATACACCTGCAGGGCGTCTGCTAACATACAGCAAGCACCATCTGTAGCCAGACCCGACAGCAGCAGCTGGAGTAGCAGCATCATCGTCTAATTGTTCGGCGGATCTGGGATGAAGCGTTGCAGGGTGTTAGCTCCCTGTGCCAGCGTGAACGAAGTCAGCAATGCCTGCGTCGCGACGTCATAGCAGCAACGCGGCGTCAGCGCCGAAATTTACCAATCCGGGCTCAGTGATGGCAGTTACCAGACGAAAGCACTGCATGATGCCGCTGTCAAGCCAAACTTCCGTGCTGTGCGTCAGTGGTAGCGACACCTAGTGAGCACGGACACTGGTTGACGCCTGTAGGTGGCACTGGTTGCAGTTTTCCCGTACCGCCAGTCGTAGCAGCCTTTGTAGTGGTTAGCGCACAGGCTCTGTGCCCCGACCCACGGGTACACCAGCCAGCCTTCACAGACGCCGTTGACATTAGAAGGCTGCTGTCGATTCGTAGCAGTAGGGTGAGCTCAGCATGAGTGCTAGCGTAGGACAGTGCATGCTCCTCTGCGTTAAGTGGCCAGCTATGCCCCGCAGTACTACGCTATAAGTATGGGGCTTGGCTGACACTGCCTGTCAGCCGCATGTCAAAGTGCATCTGACCATCAGCATAAGGTGTAGTGGACGCTAGTCGTCTCGAGCTGAAAGGACGGCAGCTTGAAACGTAACCGTCTGCAAGAAAGAGGCACGCTGTTAGAAGATTGGAACAGGTTGGTGATAGAGAGTGTTAAGATATAGATGAAGAGATAAAAGTGAAAAGAGTGAGATGAGAACACTAGACAGCTAGAAAGGGGGGGGAGGAGAGAGATGAGAAGAGAGAGAAGAGAGAGAGAGAGAGAGAGAGAGAGAGAGAGAGAGAGAGAGAGACGGGGAGAGAAGAGAGAAGAGAGAGAGAGAGAGAGAGAGATGAAGAGAGAGAAGAGAGAGAGAGAGAGAGTAGAGAGAGAAGAGAGAGATGAGAAGGAGAGATAAAGGCAAGCGATCCAACAGACCAAGTAAGAAGCAAGAAGGAGGGGGAGAGAACAAGAGAGAAAAAAGGTAAGAAGCAAGCGAGAGCTAGCGAGAAATACTGAAAAATGTGCGAGAGAGAAAGAGAGCGAGAGAGAGTAAGAGGAAGAGAGAGGAAGGGAGGGAGAGAGGAGAGAAGGGAGAGAGAAGGGAGGGACAAGAGTAACAGGTGATGAGTCAGTGCAGGGCTACAGAGAAACCCACATGCGTTGAGACAGACATAGAGACTACTGGCACTATGATTTGGCTCCTACAAACTCTGTTTTGTTGGCTGGCTGCTGCATCTTGCTCCAGGTGACGATCAGAGCGCCACCTATGCCGCTTCCCGCGCCACCCATGATGCGATCGAAATAATGGCTGCATCGGAGGCACACAAACGCTCCTCACAACACCTGTAGAAGACACCGGCTTTCGGCGTCTGCAAGCGAATGCTAAGCAAACGTCAAAGAAGATACTGACAAGTGTCCTCATTTCATTTTAAAACTGTCAAAGTATATGTCCTACTTCTTTTGTGACAGTGAGAAGGTACATCTAATTAACCTGCCCATCTGAGTGCGGTAACTAAGGCACCACTGTGAATATTTCTTCAATTAAGCTAGAGCCGGTTTATGCGTGTTTTACGTGGGTCATGCACAAAAGGTTGTAAACACGTGACACTTCAATGGCACGTTGTTTCTTTAAGACCTATTTACCACCCAGCTTGGCAATACCGCAGTGCAATAACAGGCAGGCATTAATAAGAATCATCATTCAATACAATCAAGTAATAAAAACAGATTCGTATCTGAGGCAAAAATATCCAACTGTATCCCGCAAGACAATGTCGGCTAAAAAATAACTGATTGGACTAAATCGCCGAAGAAAATTCTCCAGATTTTACTCGTAACAAACAAAATACGTAAAGACGAATTTGCCTCAGTGAGGAAGCACAGCGCAGGCAGCCTGTGCCTTGGCCAGCCCAGCAGCAAACACTCTAGACTGACCAACCGACTGGTTCCCTCCCTCTCCCAGTACGTGTCATCGACGAGCATGGAGGGTCAATATACGCTGCTATTCCTAACTCCCGCTGCTCCGGCCAGGAACCACCACATGAAATTGACGGCGGTGCAGATGGCGCTGCATATGCTCTCCGTGATAACGCGGGCAGCAGCAACGCCCTCTGATGGCTGGGTCGACGTCGCGAGAAGAGATTGCCCGCGTGCTGGTTAAACTGAGCAAACAGTTTTAAAAAAGAAAACAGGCTTAAACAAGAATTGCAGACGGATAGCGCATGAGAACGGAGAACGCAAGAGCAGTATAGCATGAGCAAATACTTTTTTTAGTGGTTTAGATTATTAAGTTAATGTACTTATTCTTATCTATCAACAATTAAAATTAGGCGTTTGGTCGAACACATTTTATTCAGATAATAGATATAGATTCTTATATGAGCATTTTATTATAAAAGCAGTGGGCCCTACATAATGATGAAACTGAATGATATAATTTTCACAATTTTCAGAGCTCTGCTAATTTGGGCGTTTTAATGAATTTTGGTAATTTGGGCGTTTTTTTCTAAGGGTCGTAATTTGGGGCGCTGTCATCTCGATATGAAAATGGCTTGGAAATAGGCCCGATAGGTAAAGGTTTTGTGCTCGGCAGGTGGTGCACACTCTACGCTATTGTGCCTCCATGTAAACAAACGTCTGCCATGTATGTGCACCTATAGAATGATAATTGTCTCTTAACTGGATGACGACTAGGGTCGATAAACGATTTGACATAAATGTGGAACCAAGCCTCGTACTGCGTGAAAAACGCACGCTACAAGCACTAACCACGATGGTCTTGCCTAGCGGAGAACTAGGTAAGTCAACGCCGAAGATTAGGAGTAAGCATTTAAACACATTACACCAACAATGCGTTATCTACATACTTACATATCTCTGAGCGAAACTTCACCGTAGCAAGTGGTAGCGGGTTACGTGGGAACGATGAGGCAGTTGGATACACGCGTGGTTGTGCCCTGGTAAGCGGCTGTCCGTCATGCAGTCGCGTGTGTGAGCTTCCGTCTTCCAGCCGTCCTCTATAGTACGTCAACACAGAAAAAAATACTGTTGGCTACTACTGCTGCTGCTGCAACTTCCACCACTACTGTCGCCACCAAGCACCAACTGTCACAACCAACCATCACATTAACCAGGCCGCCACCCGCCACCCCACCACCACCGCACCACCACCACCACCCCACACCACCACTCCACCGCTACCAGCACAGCCCAAACACTAACACGTCACCAACAAAGCAACCCTCACAACCCCACTGCCACCACCCCACCACTACCAGCAACCGCTACCGACCACCGACCGACCACCACCATACCACCACCACACCACAACTACCCACCACCACCACCACGACCACACCACCGCATCAGCACCAGCACCGACCGCCACGCCACCGCCACCGCCACCGCCACCGCCAACGCCACCACACCACACCACCACTACACACCACCAACCACCAAACCACCACCAGCCACCACCACAGCTACCAGCACCAGCACCACCACCAACACCAACACCACCAACAGCAACCCCCCTACCCCACTGCCTACCGACCCACCACTACCAGCACCGCACCGTCGCCACCACCGCTGCTGGCCGCCACAAGCACAGCAGCAGCACAGCAGCAGCACCCCCACCAACCACCTACCACCACCACTCACCACTACTCGACCACCACCACCACATCCACCACCACACCAGCACCAAGCCACCACCACTGCCAGCACCACCACCCTCCACTACCCAGCAGCACCACCACACCATCCACCCCACCAAGCCCCCCACCACCCGCCACCACCACCACCACTACCACTACCAGACCTACTTCCACCACTGTCACCTCCCCACCGCACCACCACCTATCACCACCTCGGCACCACCATCACCAGCTATCACCACCACCTACCACCACCACCACCCCACACCACGCACTACCACCAGCAGCACCACCTCACGCAAACAAGCCAGCTCACCCCCACCACCACCTCCACCACTGAACCTCCACCACCACCACACCACCACCACATCAACCACTACCAACCACTGCCGCTATCGCCAGGACGCCAGCCAAAGTTTAGTAGATAATAATTATTGTGGCATTGAATAGTAAGCAAGGGTGTTGTATGTTTATCTTGGTTGATGCGATGGCACTAATAATGTATGAACAACAGCAATCGGAGATAGCAAACCTCCGCCACAGCATAACAGTCCCCCCATCTTGCTGGTACACCCTATATAGTTTTGATGAATTTTCAGAAATTTGGAAGAAAAAAAAGGTCCAGGATTTAAAAAAAAACTTTTTGATGATTGTGAATGCGTTCCTGAAGTCTTCCCCACAAAAAAAATCCTGGATCCAGATCTGATCCGGATCACCAATCAAAATCTAATCGATTGTTGTTGCCCAAGACCATGCAACCCGTCAAAAAAATTCCATCAAAATCCATCAGTAATTTTTGAGATATATCCTGTTGACAGACAAACAAACAACTAACAAACTAACAGGGCGAAAAATCCTCCTTGGCGAGTACGTATACCTTGGTGGAGGTAACACAGTATACATGCCTCTGCAATGCAGTCCATCGCCACTGTAAGGTGGGTTGCAGGAACAAACGAATGACCGCAGGTGTGTTGATACAGGTTGCACGATCTTGTGCATCGCAGTTGTGCAATGGCTGCCACACCAGGTGTCAGCTCCGTGCATTCGTCAATGTCTGTGACAGAAGGGCCATGATAGCGAAACACGTGGGTAACGTGTACTGATATCTAGATACCTAACATATAGTTATAGCAGTTAGTATAGGCACCAAGGCAATGTTGTATCAGGTACTATATATGTACCCGAGGTAGTTTTAGGTTGTTTAGTATTATGTTTATATTTTTATATGAGGTATGTTTAGGGTTAGGGTTAGGGTTAGGGTTAGGGTTAGAGTTAGGGTTAGGGTATACACTTCTGTAGTACAAGTCTGGTACACTTTGTGTATACATATATGTACCTCGGGTACATATATGTAGTACCTGATATGACAACGACCCCTTCAGCGTTAGTATATGGAGTTAGTATTTGTCAATGTCTGTGACAGAGGGCATGATAGCGAAACACGTGAGTGACACGTACTGATATCTAGATACTAACATATAGTTATAGCAGTTAGTATATGGAGATCAGTGGTAACATGCCAGTAAATGCACACGGGGGTGGGGAGGGGGGCGAATCACTCATATATGTGTGGGCTGGTGCGGTATGATTTCATGTTGCCATGACAACATATCAGTTTGTTCTAAATCGCCAACAACCTCGCATGCTCACAGCAAATTCCCTGTGTGAATATCATGTTGTGCTTTGTTTTAAATCTAATCAATATACCAAGTGTCAGAATTATCGATTTCATAGATTTCTAATGCATGTAGCCTGAAAATGAAAAGAAACTCCTAATGAAATTAGTCTATTGATAAAAATTCATACATATAACTCTCATCTCACCCCTGTGCCTTTGAATTTTGTATTATTACAATATACTGTATAAAATTAAATGCGTCAATATACACAGCATACCAATATTTTAGAACAATTAAGCTATAGCGAAACATCAAGAGAACGTGAACATCAGCTCTCTATCAGAACACATACATAGCACTGCACAGTACTCTACTGTTCTAATAATACATATCAGTAAATCTCTTGCTATATAAATACATATCAGTGAGGTAGTTACCACAGCAACGTGCAGATATACATGATTAAATAAAATCTCACAAAACTAGAATACATGGCCAACCATACACCAACGTTGGCCCAACGTCATGCAGCCAACCATTTGCCAACCGTGACCATGCCAACCATACGCCAACGTTGGCCCAACGTCATGCAGCCAACCACTTGCCAACTAGCATCATGCCAACCATACGCCAACGTTGGGCCAACGTTATGTAGCCAACCATGCACTAGCCAACTAGCATCGTGCCAACCATACGCCAACGTTAGGCCAACGTTATGTAGCCAATCACTGGCCAACTAGCATCGTGCCAACAACACGCCAACGTTGGTCCAACGTCATGCAGCCAACCACTTGCCAACTAGCATCATGCCAACCATACGCCAACGTTGGGCCAACGTTATGTAGCCAACCACTGGCCAACTAGCATCGTGCCAAGCATACGCCAACGCTGGCCCAACGTCATGCAGTCAACCATTTCCAACTAGCATCATGCCAACCATATGCCAACGTTGGCCCGTCATGCAGTCAACCACTTGCCAACCGTGACCATGCCAACCATACGCCAACGTTGGCCCAACGGCATGCAGCCAACCACTTGCCAACCGTGACCATGCCAACCATACGCCAACGTTGGCCCAACGTCATATTGCCAACAACGCCCGTGCCAACGTTGGCCCAACGTTGGCATAACGTCATATTGCCAACCGTGACCGTGCCAACCAAATGCCAACGTTGGCCCAACGTAAGCATGCTATCTGCACTCATTGCACTGAATCTGCCTAAATCTATACCTACTATACATATATACTATTGAATGCTAAACATATAAACTAATATATACTTCCGCTGATCACTAGAGGGTGGTACCTTTACAGGCGTGGGGTTGTGTGGGGTCATGGCGGAAACCTGGCTGTATACAACTGCATGTGTAGTCACCCGGGATGTTGACACAGCCACTGACACCCTCCCGTGGCAGGCCGAGGTTCGAGGAGGGGTCAATACAGTCGTTAGGCAGTGCACACTCATTGACGTCTGCAAGTAAATGCAATCAAGTAAATTGCAAACTTGTATAACAACTACAACTACACTCATAACTAACTAAGCCCAATATCACTGGGTGACAGCTCATCTATAACCCACAGGTGCAGTGAATCTGTGTTCAGTAAAGATGGTTTAGGCCTCAGCATCACACACATAGCAACTCTTACTTAGAGGAGATGCTTTATGAAAGCTATACGGGAAAACGTGTGAATTAGTGTCACTCAATGGAAATGCCAAAATTGTTCTTTATAGGCAGATGTGAGTTCTATAGGGATAGCAAAGAAGCTAAAAAATAACTGCCAAACTTCAAATGCAATTTCGAAATTTGACCACTAAGGAGCTGTATGCGTTATATTAAAAAGATTGTAAAAGAAACACTCTGAGCACAGTAGCATGAACACCAAAAACATAAGGCAGAACCACAGACTTAGCTACACTGATGGGGCTTGTCACTCCATGTCACCAGTGTTTAACGTCTATTAGTGACACAGTCACAATGTAGCTTTCATCAACATTATCGTCAATGTCATCATCATTGTTGTCATTAAGTAATCGTGAAAGCAGGCTTACCAACACTAATGGGGTTGTCATTCTTTATGCCAAGCGTATAACCGCTGTCAGACACACAGGTGTAGCTCACTGCAGCACCAGCTGTCAAATGACAGGAGCCATGACCGCAGTAATTTATAGGGCAGGAACTTCCTTCTACAGCTGAAAACAATAGCATTTTACATCAATAATGATGTTGCCATCATTATCATATCATCGTTTACTGTTGCCATCAATATAATCACTGCTATTATAATCTCCACTACTATAAAGAAGAAGAACGAATCTTTAGATCCGCAGAAAATTCTCATGTATGTTTCATAGAGGCGTAATGGGAGCTACAGCTTGATGTAAATAATCCTGTATATGTTGAACCATAGATATAATCTAATTTGATTTTGATAGGCTATCTATGTATGTATATCTATCTCTCTCTCTCTATATATATATATATATATGCAGTTACAGAGAACTAGGTACCGGTAGTGTATGCAGTTAAACCTGTATAGAACGACAACAGAAAACATGAAAAGTGGTCTTCACAGACAGGTTGCCTTTCTGTTTAGGTTTACCTGCTAACACAGGGTTGACAGTGTTTCTTAATACAGGGATGAGAATGAAGAATTTCGTTTTCAGAGAAAATCACAACCCGGGGGGGGGGGCAAAGATAACTATTCACACATTTCATTAAAACTAATACAATGTGTTTTACATATTGATGAATATAAACTTATTTGTGTTATTGTTATATTACACACACGTTCTCACATTATGTCTACATGTAACACATACATGTATTCATAATTTGTAAACCTAGGCTTACTGGATTTCCTGCACTCTCTGTACTTCTACGTGGTCAGTGATCATTAAACATATATCCTTGCAATAAATTAACGTTCTAAAACTGTCCATCTTAGTGTGATTTCTGCACACATTGTTAATTCATGAAAATTATAAGTCTACAACACTAATATATCAACTAAACTCAGTAAGAAATACAATGTTTTGGATAGAGAAGAATCTTATTGAATAAAGTACTGTCGAGAGTTGAAAAACAGATGTTAAATTCTAAAGATTTTGCCCCATAAATTTTTCTCATAGAATTTTCCCGGATCCGAGGAAAATTCTCATCCCTGTATATACGTTTCCTATGTACTACTGCATGTGCAGCTTACCTTGGGTACAATTGGTTCCCATCCAGCCAACCGAGCATGTACAGAAGTAATCATTGTATTGGTCCGTGCAGACGCCACCATTTTGGCATGGGTTCGGACTGCAATCGTCCACTTCTAACAAAATTTTGAATAAAATAAGACAATTGACATTAATCACTATTATTTACGAAATTTGCGAATACACGAATATACGGACTACGAAGAGGAAACTACGGGCAGGAACAGGCACACGCAGCATTAGCATCACATGGTCCAGGATAAGCACTGCATTCATCATCGTCTGTAATCAAAATTCAAAAAAAGCATTTCATAATCAACATCTTCATTAACTAAGTTTGGTAATAATGAACAAGGAAGTGAGATTGTGATATAGGTAAGTGCATACCAGTACAAGTCAATCCATCTCCACTGTAGCCAGTGTTGCATGTACAGGTAAAACTTCCAGGAGTGTTGGCACACACAGCATTAGCATCACATGGTCCAGCAGAAGCACTGCATTCATCATCGTCTGAAGCAAAATCAAGATGAATTTTTCCTAATCAATATCTCCATTAACTAAGTTTGGTAATGATAAGCAAGGAAGTGAGACTGTGATATATGTAAGTGCATACCAGTACAAGTCAATCCATCTCCAATGTAGCCAGTGTTGCATGTACATGTGAAACTTCCAGGAGTGTTGGCACACACAGCATTAGCATCACATGGTCCAGGAGAAGCACTGCATTCATCATCGTCTGTAAAGAAAATAGAAAAAGAATTTCATAGTCAACACCTTAATTCATTAAATAAGTTTGGTAATAACGAGCAAGGAAGTGAAAATTGTGATATATGTAAGTGCTTACCAGTACAAGTCAATCCATCTCCACTGTAGCCAGTGTTGCATGTACAGGTGAAACTTCCAGGAGTGTTGGCACACGCAGCATTAGCATCACATGGTCCAGGAGAAGCACTGCATTCATCATCGTCTGTAAAGAAAATAGAAAAAGAATTTCATAGTCAACACCTTAATTCATTAAATAAGTTTGGTAA